CAGCAGGTCAGGTCACATCTTTTATCATGTACATCCAGCAGGTCAGGTCACATCTTTTTTAATACTTCTGAGATAGCTTAATTAGAATGATGTGGTCAGAAGAGCCTGCTCCTAAAACCTTAGAGCCTGTCCTGTCTACCTAACTGTGAATTCCAGTTGGTCGCTTATTAGGAAGACCTGGCCATAGTGTATCGTACGGGCACTCGGGAGGCAGAGGCAGGCAGGTCTTTGCGCGTTTGAGCCAGCCTGGCCTACAGAGTGAGTCCAGGCAGCCAAGGCTACATAGGGAAATCTCAAAAAAAAAGAAGAGGGCTCTATGGTAAATAAAATCTACAAATTTTAGGTTAAGCAAAGTTAGGTAGACTTCATTAAAGTTAAAATGTTTTTGTTTTTATATTTGGGGTGTGGAGTCAGGGTCTTACTTATGCTTTCCCCGCACTTAGAGAGAGCCTTCTGCCTCTGCACCCCAAGCTTAGTGCTCAGTAGGTAGAGGCAAGAGACCCAGAAGCTCAAGGTCTTATACCTTCGTAGTAAATTTAGGACCAGACTGATGCAGGAGAACCTTTCTCAACAAAAATCAAAGCAAAAAAAACCAGTTTGTTTCATAGAAAAAACAAATATATATGAAGGTAAAATGAGTACTGCTGAGAACTGTTGTACCCAAGGATAATCACAATCTTTTTTTCCTTTTGTTCATAGGCATTGTTCTCACAAAAGTTGGTTACTATACTATTCCATCCATGGATGACCTTGCTAAAATTACCAATGAAAAGGGAGAATGCATTGTTTCTGACTTTACCATTGGTCGTAAAGGTAAGAGTGTGTGGAGGGGTACAGTAACTCAGAGATTGCACATTGCTTATAATGAAGGGTACTCCTGATTTTAGGGTGTTTTTTCCTGTATTTGGAATAATAGAAACATTGACAAGTAACAAAGCACAGCAGACTAGAGACATGTAGAATTTGGGCCTTAGACAGACCTATTTGGGTCTGGTACTCTCTTATCTCATTATACTCTCTCATAATTACTGAAACTTGAAGGTATACTAAGTTTGATTAATACTTTGGTTTGATTTCATTCTATTAAATTGTTAGATTTTTTTTTAATAAACTTAACTTTGTGATGCTGTATTTTACATGGGCTCAGGTATTTTAATTTACGTAGCAGACTGGGAACCAAGTTGTTCACAGAGAGCAGCCCTGCAGATACTTGGGCACATTTGAAGAGAGTAGAAATGTAAGCTAGAGGTGTTACCATCTGATACAATGTAATGCCATTCCTCTTCCCCGTTCTTGCCATATTTAGGAGGCAGGACTTCTAATTCTTGACTGCTAAAAGGAATTCCATGAATTTCTGGAAGGTTTAAAATACTGATATTAGAGGTTGCATCCTCGTCCTTGCTAATCACTACAGATTAAAAGAGGCCTTTGCTCCTTCATGAAGGCTCTATTTTAACCATTTGCTCTGAATTTTAGGGTATGGCTCAATCTATTTTGAAGGAGATGTTAATTTGACAAATCTTAATTTGGATGATATTGTGCATATCCGAAGGAAAGAAGTTATTGTCTACGTAGACGATAACCAGAAGCCACCTGTGGGTGAAGGGCTAAATAGGTATGGATTTATTTACATATAGAAAATACCCAGCTAATTGGAATTTTTCTCTGTTAACCCTGTGGCTGTAAGATATATTACTGTTTGTCTACTTTTATTTGAAAGTGTAAGTGGTAACGATGCACTGTGACTTTAGGGCTTGTTGTTAGCTGTTCTCTAGTGGTGACATGTCCAGGTGCTAATTTCAGAAACTTCAATGCTGGGCATTTTCTCTTGCCATTGTTCAGTTTTGCTTTTCAGAGCTAGGGATTAAACCAGGGCCTCATACGTGTTTAAAATCAATCTACCATTGAGTGCCAGCTCCAGAGCGGGGTTTTGTTTTTCTGTTTCCTCTTGTTTCTCTTGTGCTGCTGGCATATTTAACATTTTTAGTTTAAAACTTAACTTTTGTTTTAGGCATTTTATTGCCATGTGTTTCTTGAGGTGGGTTGGAGGGTGGACAAGGTCTCACACTGTAGCCCCCATATGCCTTGGACCCTAGCCTGGCTTGATTCGTGGCAGTACTGCTTCAGCCTCCAGAGTGCTGTAATTACAGTCGTGTACCACTGTGTCCATCCTTCTCTGAATGACTTAGAGCTTTGGGTGGTTGCATTCACATTTGCACAACTCCAGTACAGACCTTGTTTGGAGGTGGGAGTCGAGGGGAAGGCTGGAGAGATGGCTCAGTGTTAAGCACTCGCTGCTCTTAGAGGACCTGGATTCGTGTTCCCAGCAACACACGACTGTTTGTAGCTCTCTGGTCCTAGGAGATTCCAATCTCTTCTGGCCTCTGGACACCAGATACATACATGGAATACAATACGTACATACATACATATATCACACTCAATGGAGTACATGCATGCATACATGCAAAATACCCTACACATAAAATAATATTTAAAAATGATTGACAGTGTGATCATGAAATATTTTACATCTTTGTTCATGGGTTGTATTTAATTGTTGACAGTTCAAAGTGTGGCATGTGCCTATGTGGAATTACTCCATTACCAACGAAGGTAATTCGGAATCAAAGTTCCTAAAGCTAGCCTAGATTTTATGATTTGCATTCTGCTTGGGTCTGTATAACAGGTACCTGTCTCCAAAAACCAGAACTAGAAAATGGAAGGAAATTCTGAGGCATTTAGCCTGGATGAACCTTGACGTTATACTAAGTGAAATAAACAATCACAAGAAGATAGTGTATTTTTCTACTCACAGTTGAGTAAGTCAGATTGATAGAAATGAAGTAGAATGATGGTGACAAAGAGCTACAGCGAAAGAGAAATGGGGAATTAGTGATACATTAATTTTCCATTGCCAGTAACACAATTCACAGATTGAGTGAGTCATCAGTAAAGGACACTTGTTTGGAGGGTCCAAGGTCAAGCAGCTACATTTGTTGATGGTATTTTTGCCAGTCCCGAGGAAGTATAGGGTACCACATGTCAGGAGACAGGAAGTACAGGTATAAATGTGTAACTAACTGCCTGCTTCTGTCCTTAAAAAGCCAGTGGGATTCAGTTATGAGGGCTCCACTGTAGTGATTCTTTCTAGTCCAAATTTCTTCCCAAAAGTACAAGTGTGCATTGTTTTACTGCTTCACAATGAGGATTTTATTTTAGCACATGAAGCTTAGGGAGTGCACACATCATGTTCAAACCGTAGCAAATGGACAGAGTTTCAGATTTACAGGAGTCTCGTGGAGAAAGATTATACGACAGTATTAATACTTTTTTAACGTAACTTTTATTACCATGACAGGACTAGGATAGAGTGTCCAGTAAAATGAGACAGAGTCTGAGTCGGTTTAGTGGTTAAAGGTAGCCTGCTGCTAAGTCTGATTACCCTAAATTCAGTCCTTGGGACCTGCCTTGTGAAATGAGAGGGGACAAACTCATACAAGTCGTCCTCTGACCTGAACATGAACACCATGGTGCCTTTGCACGTGCATGCTTACACACACACACACACACACACACACACACACAGACGAACATTATTTCATGGTTGTTTTAAAGCAGAACAGAGGGCCAGGTGTAGAACATGTGCTTAGCTTGTGTGAGGCCCTGCATTTCATCTCCAGCACTACTTTTGGCTTCTGCTTCTTTGGCAGGATGGCTTTGGCCCTGCCCAAAAGTGATTTTTCTTAACAGTACTGAACTAACTGGCCACCGTAAAGTAGTCTACATAACCATATGCAAACCCCTGTCCTGGGTGGAAGCCATGCTGTTGATAGAAGATGCATTATGACTGCTACATCATTTTCACTGCTATTTTTAGCATGCGCAACACCTATAAACAAAATGATAAGTGATTAAAAGCTAATCAAGTATTGTTTTTGTTTCTTGTGGACTCAAGATGGTCATCTAGGCAGGCTGGAGTACGCTGCATCTCCAGCCCAGTAGCTGTTACACTGGTTGTTATTCCGGGTGTGACATATCTGGGACATGCAAGGCAGACTATGAATAACTGATAGCACTGTTACACTTGAGATGAATGCAGTCTGACTCTAGAACTAGTTAGTTAGACAGAAGTGACACTTTGTTCTTAACTTCTTAAGTATTTAGTGCAGTCTGACTCTAGAACTAGTTAGATAGAAGTGATGCTTTGTTCTTAACTTCTTAAGTATTTAGTGGAGTCTGACTCTAGAACTAGTTAGTTAGATAGAAGTGATGCTTTGTTCTTAACTTCTTAAGTATTTAGGAGACAAAACTCATTTTTTTAATATTATTTTTAACTATGTAGCTGTGTGTGCTTTTGAGTTTGTGCATGTATACTCATGTGAATGCATGTCCCTGAGGAGGCAAGAGGCATTGCATCCCTCTGGATCTGGAGTTACAGGCAGTTGTGAGCTGCTCCATGTGGATGCTGGGAGCCTTAAAAATTGTTTTATTTTTAAATTGTTATGTGTGGGGGTGTTTTAGCCATGCATACGTCTGTACACTACACTCTTGCCTGGTGTTCTCAGGTTAGAAGAGGGGGAGAGATCCCTGGAACTGAAATTACAAACCATTTTAAGGTACCATGTGAGGGCTGAGAAGCAAACCCAGGTCCTCTGGAATAGTAGCCAGTGCTCTTAACCATTACACCCCCTCTTTTTTTTTTTAAGCCCCTGCAGTTTGCATTCTTAATTATTGAGCCATTTCCAACTCTAAGACTCAAGTTTTGAAATACCTGCAGAATACTTCTAAGAAATTGCTTCCTCTTGTTGCTGTTAATTTAGTTTTGTTTGTTTAAATTTATTTTTATTTTATGTGTATGAATGTTTTGACTACATATATGTCTTTGTACCATATGCATGCAGTGCCCCAAGAATGGTTTCTGGATACCCTGAAACTAAAATTACAGATGGTTATGAGATGACATCTGGGTTCCAAGAACTGAACCCAAGTCTTTTGTAAGAGTGGCCCTTTTCTCCTTGGCTGTCTGAAGGCAAGATGGGTCACCAGCAGCTCACAGGAGTCACCCTCAGAAGTTTGGCCAGGGTTCTTGCTCCTCCCTGGTCTATTCTAACTGCCACGGTCTGATCCAGAAATATAGGCTGAATATGTGACTTCAGTGTTTCTGTCAGTACTCAAAGGAAATAGGCTTCGTTAATTGGACTAATGGATTATTCAAGACTGTCTACCCAGTGTACATAAAGAATAAAAAAGTGAAGCCCTTCAAATAAATAAATAAATAAATGAATGAATGAATGAATGAATGAATAAATAAGAGTAGCCAGTGATCTTAACCATTGAGCCATCTTCAGCCTCCCTCTCCCCCTTGGTTTGTTTGTTTGTTTCTTTGTTGAAGTGGTGTCTCACTCTGTAACCCAGGCTGACCCTGAACTTGCTTTGTGGACGAGACTGGCCTCTGCAGACTGGCCTCTGCATCATCTCTCCTGAGTGCTGGAATCACAGGGCATAAACGTCCACACCCAGCCTCAGACCTATCTTTGCTATTGACAGTGGTGTTAGTTGGATCTCTAGTAAGTCTTGTTTAGTTTTGTTGTTGTTTTTGTTTGGTTTTGGTTTTGGTATTTTTGAGATGGGGTTTCTCTGTGTAGCCTTGGCTGTCCTAGACTCACTTTGTAGACCAGGCTGGCCTTGAACTCACAGAGAGCCATCTGCCTTGGCCTCCCCTGTGCTAGGGTTAATGACATGGGCCACTATGCCTAGCTACGTATATGTTACTGCCAAAAGTGGTGTCTCTGTTTTCGTTCTCGTATCCAGATTTTCATTCAGTCAGGTATCATGCAGAGTGCTGGGATTTCATTGTGCTGTTTTTATACAAATTATTTCTTGCTCACACTGCCTTCTTGCTGGTTTCTATCCTTTCTTCTGTTTTCATGTTACATGAATTCTTTTGTCTTCTGTTTTTCTCTTCTCCCTTAAGATTCTTCCTCTCCTATTGTGGTCCCCTTTTTAGTTTCATGACCTATGTACTCTGTGTGCCTGCCTATGTGCATACATGTATTAAATTGAGATTCTGTATATGAGAGAAAACATGGAATATTTGTCTTTGAGTTTGGCTTATGTTGCGTTACGTTAATATAATGATCTCTGTTTCCTATAAGTGTCATGATTTTTTTTTTTTTTTTTTTTTTTTTACTGTTGAAAAAAAAATGTGTATATACCACTTCTTTTATCTGTTCATCCAATGGTGAATAGATAAATTGATAAATCTAGGTTGTACCATATCTTGGCCATTGTGAACAGTATAGCAATAAACAAATGTGGAAGTACCTTTGTATGCTTGGGGGTTCTTCAAATATATAACGAGGGCTAGGGTGGCTGGGTCACAATTGTAGCTGCCCATTAGTCTTTCAGAGAAAGACTCTAGCTTCCATAATGGCTACATTTCTGTTTATAAGTATAACGTATTTACATTTTACCTGTTTATAATTTATAGGAAGGCTGAAGTTACGTTGGATGGAGTTTGGCCAACAGATAAAACATCCCGGTGTTTAATAAAGAGTCCAGATCGACTTGCTGATATCAACTATGAGGGGAGATTGGAAGCAGTCTCAAGGAAGCAGGGGGCCCAGTTCAAGGAGTACCGGCCTGAAACTGGTTCTTGGGTGTTTAAGGTATAGTTAATTAACTCAGTTCTAATGTTTGGAGTCACGAAATGAACTTATCAGAAATCTTTGTCTTCCTTAAAAGTTGATGTAATGGTGCCGTCAATGTCAGGTATCTTCCTCTGTTGCTCTTCTTTTTATTCATGCATTTATTTATGTTTGAGGCATAGTTTCACTATGTAACCATGCCTGACTTGCAGCTTATTTTGTAGAATAGGCTGTCCATGAACTCAGAGAACTGCCTGAGAGAACTCATAATGTTGGCATTAAAAGGCCTACTATACCTAGTTCAGCTTACTGTCTGCAATACTCTCTCACTGAATCTGGAGGTCCCTAATTCAGCTGGCTACCTAGCTCCAAGAACCCAAAACTGCCCCTGCCTCTCCAGTGCTGGGATTATAGTTATTATAGTTTTGGTGGCCTTGCCCATCTTCTTCTTGTTTTTTTTTTTTGGGGGGGAGGGGTCTGAACTCAGGTACTCATGATTACATGGCAGACACTTAACCAAATGAGGCAGCTCCCTAGCTGTTTGTGTTCGTGTGCAAATGTGTGGGTACAGAAATGTCACAGGGATGTTAAAAGACAACCTAGGGGAGGTTGGTTCTCTGTACCATGTGAGTCCGGGAGATCAAAACCTGTCTTACGGACCCTGACTGTCATTTTTTTTTTCTTTCAAATACTTTGGAAAATGTCATGGTCGGCTGCTTACTTATTCTGAATAATCTTACCCAATAGTTTCTTCTTCTAGGTTGGTTGATGATTTAGCTGGTTGAAGGCTCTGTGTAGGTAGCAAACAGGTAGTATATGTCAGAACTCATGGGTGATTGGATTTTATGTATTTTTTGTTTTATTTATGCATATGAGTGCTCTGCCTTCCTATATGTCTACACAACAGAAGAGGTCATCAGATCTCAGTATAGATGGTAATGAGCAGCCATGTGGTTGCTGGGAATTGAACTCAGGACCTCTGGAAGAACAGCCAGTGCTCTTGACCACTGAGCCATTGCTCCAGCCGCCAATTTTTTTTTTTTTTCTTTATTTTTGCTATCTTATGTAGGTGAGTGTTTTCCATGCACATCTGTGAACCACATGAATGCCTAGTACCCAAGGAGGTGGTGAACCTCCATGTGGTTGCTGGGAATCAAACACAGGTCCTTTGTGACTACAAGTGCTCTTAACCACTGAGCCAGCTCTTCAGGCCTGAATGATTGCATTTTAAGGATGAATGATGGATATGGGTAGGGGGAGAGAGATAGATTTTAAGTATGGATGAATGAGTGAATATTTTATATAAATATATTTTTTATTTTCAAGACAGCGTTTCTCTGTTATGCTCTGGCTGTCCTGGAACTCACTTTGTAGACCTGGCTGGCCTTGAATCTCCCATGTCTCTGCCTCCTTTCTGGTGGGACTCACATTGTGTCACCATGCCCAGCTTATTGTAATATAGTTTATATTGCATATGTTCATCGAATTTTGAGCAACTATTATGTGGACTGAATGATGTCAAAATCATTGTACTGACCTTTACTTAACATTTTCTTTTAGTTTAATCATTTGAAATTTAGTTATTTATTTATTTGTTTGTTTTTGTGTGCTATGCTTTGGAAGCCAGAATAGGGCATTGGGTTCCTTGGAACTAGAGTTGTAGACAGTTATGAGCTGCCATGTGGCTTCTCCTAGAAGAACAGCCAGTACTTCTGGGCTATCTCTCCCCTGCTTTGACTATTTTAATATCTCTCCCTTTGTCTTTTTTCAAAGGTAAATAATCACTGTTAAAAGTTGACTTTTTTGCTGGCTTTCTTTTTTCTTAGGTCTCCCATTTTTCTAAATATGGCCTTCAGGATTCTGATGAAGAGGAGGAGGAGCACCCACCCAAAACTACTTCAAAGAAGTTGAAGACTGCCCCTTTACCCCCTGCAGGCCAGGCAGCCACTTTCCAGATGACTCTTAATGGCAAACCTGCACCTCCACCTCAGGTAGAGAAGGGCAGTGAATGTGAATGGAGCTGTGATAAAGAAGCCAAAGCAGTCATGTAGCTTTGCAGCTGTGCAACCCTTGGAACTAAGTACAAGGGAGGGCACAGTGGTGCAGGCTGCTATTTTTTACTCAAGATTGAAAGAATTCTCTTTTTGGATCATTCTACAGATTGTAATTTTCCATTTCTCTCATTTGGACTTGTAATTTTTTGATCATTGATCGCCTTGAGATAGCATTTTGCTTGTGTAGGGTTGATACAAAGTAAATCATTCTTTTATTGATTTCATGATGTACAGTCTGATCTTGTTATTTTACCTCCATCACTTTTTAAAAGCCAGATTAGCTTTCTGCAAGAGTTTAATTCCATTTTCTCAAGTTGTTTGCTTATACTTCAGGTAAACCTATAATGCTGTATTTTAATAATCTTTGTGAAAATACATAATTTTTAAAAGCAAGTAAATTATTTAGCTTGGAAAGAATAGGGACCGCATTGTTTATTACAATTATTTATGTATTATACTTTTTCAGTATTGTTAAACCAACATAAACCTTTTGTCCTTAATGGGGAGAGGCTTGTAAATTAAATATCAGGTTGTTTCTTTAAATGACTACTGCTAAAGAGATTGACTTTAATTTGGATATTGTTTATATTCAATCAAGTTAAAGCGATATTTTTAACTAACATACTCCTTCAAAGAAGAGTTGTTTATGGGACTTTGTAACACCCTCTACCTCTCAGCTGCTAAAAGCAGGACCTTTGGGATTTTCCATGCTATAATTCCTTTGGCTGCTTAAATGTGTGATTTTATGGTTTATTAAATAACTTCTGGGGAGGCACTTCCTGGAGAATCGTGTATGTTGATGTTTGTGTTACAGGGTGGAAGGGGGGGTATGATAAATGTGGAAGTTGGAACGTTTGACTTAAAAGTTTCATATTCACTGCTAATAAATCTGTAAGTGACTTAGGCAGAAGAAGTCAGATACCTAAGTTTGAGGCTGCCCAGATCTACATAGAAAGTTTCAGGCCTGCTTGAGCTACCTAGCCCAGATTATTCTTTCCAGTGGTCTTTCCCCTCCCCCCCAGTCTTTTCTGAGAGCAAAATCATGGTCTCTTTTTCCCTGTTGGTAAAAATGTAAAGTGTTAAAGATATCGATGGACTTGGGGAGGCAGAGGCAGGTGGATCTCTGTGAGTTCAAGGCCAGCCTGGTCTACAAAGTGAGTCTAGGACAGCCAGGGCTACACAGAGAAACCCAGAACAAATTTTTGTGATACTGGATTTGATATTGGCAGTTGATAGTCAGCTTTAATCACCAGAACCAAACACTTATTAAAAAAATCTAAATTCCTGACAGTTTTGTAGGCAAGAGCTAATTGAAAACAGAGAGCATAAGATACCTCAAAACAGGCTGTAGCCAAGAGAGCTCTGGTAAGGACTCAAATTGGACAAATAGAACACAGTGAGTAGGGTACTCAACTGTGTGGTTTCAAGAAGTTAATGGATGGTGAGCAGAAGTGAGAAATACGTGTTTACGTGAATTGTGAAGACTTTGTTTTTGTTAGACAGCAACACTGGACAGACAGCACTCTGGAGCGTTCCTTCCTGTTCCCTGGTGACTTTTGAGGGAGATAGAAATTGCCAGTGGCTGAATTAATTGTTAGTATTAGTTGCAAAGATCCTTTGCTTTTCTTGGCACAGGTAAACTACCTGAACTATCTGAATGAACTGAGAACAGCTCATTCTTTTCATTCTTGAGCCAAAGTTTTTATTACACTACTTGGTTCTTGGAGAGGCTAATTTCCGTAAGGTGTTATGATATCTGACGGAGGAAACACACACACACAGTATATCAAAGACTGCAACGAAAAAGAATATTAGAAAAAAAGACAGAAGGTTGTCATATCTTGAGCTGTTTAGAAAAGTTTGTATTTTACTTTAAAGGTCACATTTATACAGCACAGCTTTTTGCCCAGTAGTCTTAGTTTCCTGTTTTCAGATGGTCCATAAGCCTTGCCTTTGCCCAAAAAAGCAGGTGTGACTAAACAACCAGACCACATTTTTGTATGATCTTCGGTAGCTTTTAGGCAAGAAAAAAAAATGTTACACATAATCTTCCATTGCAGGTAAATTAAAGCTACTATGGGAAATACTTTTTCTGTAATTTTATTAGTTTCAAGCACCTAGTTTGAGATTTCATTTCTGGCTGATTGCATCAATAATCTGGAGAGCTTGTCTTCCTAGATCAGCTATCACTTCAGTTCTATGTATATTGGGTTCCCATATACTGAATCTTTAATAATGCTCCGCAGCTGAAGGAGATGTATGGGTTGGTTTTGAAACTAAGACATGAAACCTTTGACACTCAGGTAGGTGTAGATGTAGCTTTTATCCCAGCCTTGTGGTTGAAATAAATCTGAATTCATTAACAATAAGTCAAGATAGTTAGCATATACAGAATCCTCATGTTCAGTCAGTAAATTCATTCAAAGAAATGTAAAAAAAAACAATTAAGAGTGAGTATTTTGTCTGCATGTGTATATGTGTGCCCGTTGCGTTCCTGGTGCCTATTCAAGTTAGAAGAAAGCATCATATCGCCTGAAACTTGTGTTTTGTAAGGGTGTGAGCTACCATTTGGATACTGGAAAACAAGCCTGGGGTCTTCTGCAAGAGCAGCGAGTGCTCTTAACTGCTTAGCCATCTCTCTAACCCAATTTTAAAAGTTATTGTTGTTGTTGTTGTTGTTGTTGGGTTTGTTTTTTGTGGGGTTTTTTTTGTTTTTGTTTTTCAGGAAAAAAGATATCAAGATTTAGGAGATAAGATTTGTATATGCTGTGACTTGAAATAAAAAGACACTATTCTAAATTGACCCAGTTATTAACACACTATGTGTGTTTGTATGTATGTTTGTGTGTTTAATTATATAGCCACAATTTTATTTCAGATATTATTAGGCATGTTGATTTTCTTAATTTAAATATAATTAAGCCTTACCACTCATGCAGAATATCCATTAGTGTATATGTACAAAACATGAGCCTTTGAAACTCATGTGTAATTTTTTTTTTAAGAGAACACAGAATTGTCAGCTAGTTTTCTCACAACAAAACTGCATGAAAATATTCTTTACAGTTAGACAAGTTGGAGGTAATCAACAGTAGTAGTCATATTGAAGTAAAATAATTAGATGAAAGGATAATATGAACTATAGAAAAATCTGGTCTTGGTCCAGGCCAGTAGTCGCACATGCCTTTACCCCTAGCAGGTGGGAGGCAGAGGCAGCCTCTTTGAGTTTGAGGCCTGGTCTACAGAGTGAGTTCCAAGGCAGCCAAGGCTTCACAGGGAAACCCTGTTTTGGGGGGGAAAAAAATCTAGTCTTGAAGTAGTAATTTATTATTTTATTATTATTATTTTAAGAAGACCTTAAAAGGCTGAGAATGGTGGTGCCCACCTTTAATCCCAGAACTCAGGAGGCAGAGGTAGGAGGACTTCTGTGAGTTCCAGGACAGCCAGGTTCTGTTACATAGAGAAACCCCCTTTTGGAAAACAAAACAAGACACCTTGAGTTATCCCACCTTCCCTTCAGAATTAAGAGAGTTCATATTTGAAAGCACTGACAGTGTTAATTGACAGTAGATAATTTTGATGTGAAAAATAAACCTTACTTGAATCAAGAAAGGTTTTCAATTATGAACTCTACCCTTGGTTTTTCAGATTCTCATTTTATAGATACTTTCTGTAGTAATATTTATAATGCATTGTGCCTCTATTTAGAAAGAAGCAAGATATATCCTGTCTTCAAGAGATTGCACTGTAGAAAAGGGTATTAAGATGATGCCTATTCAACTTTTTCCAATAAACACCTTTCGTTCCCACAGACCTCTCAGGAACTCGTTTTTTCCTCACTCATCCTCAGTTTACAGCTTTTTTATTGTTCTGACTTCTGAAAACTGGCCTTTAAGAAGTGTCTGGCCTGCTAAGATTTCTTTTTGTTGAAATTTCTTAGCTAATATTTTAGTGTCGTCTAACTGTAATGCCTCAGCACTGGGGAGGCTGAGACAGCAGAATGTGTTCAAGGACAGCAAGGCATTACTGGTGAGGCACTGTCTCCAAGGTAAATAAAGGTGCAAAACTATTTAAGTATTTTTATTTATAGATGTTTTGCCTGCTTCTGTGTCTGTGCACCTTTTGTGTGCATTACCCTTAGAGGCCAGAAAGGGACATTGGATCTCTTGGGGCTTGATTTATAGGCCATTGTTAGGTTCCATGTGGGTGCTGGGAATCAAACCTGAGCCCTCTGTGAGATCCGCTAGTGCTATTGCCAGCCCCTGAAAACCTTATTTTTTTAAGTGGCTTGAAACCCTGTCTTAAAAAGACTTACTATATAACAGCATCCATTTAAAAGGTAGCATAAAATAGGAAACTTAAACACTCAAGAAAAATCAGCCATTGTGCAGGATGATATATAAAAATTATAGCTTGATAAAAATGGTTGATAGTGCCTTTTGTTTTATGAGTTGTTACAGTCACTTTTCACACAGTATAGGCTCTAGTGTTGGGCATAATGTAACAAATTTGTATGGAAGATGTTAATTTATAGTGTACTTTGATTTTATAAACATTAGCCTTTTACTGTAGGCGGTGTGTGTACAGGTGTGTAGAAACTGAGGGTTGAAAATGGTGTCAACTTCTATCTGTTCACCTTAGATCTGTGAGGAAAGGCTTTCTCACGGAACCTGGAGCTCACCAATTGGCTAGTGTTGCTGGCCAGCAAGCTGCAGAGAGCCTCCTGTTTGTGCCCATAGTGGCTGACTCAGGCCCTTACACTCAACAGATGGTTCTTACTGAGCCATCTCCTTAGACTGTCAGTAACTCTTTGTCGTGATTAGATCTGTAGGATTGCTTTATAAATGTAAATGTAACTTGATTTTTTTAAAAAAACATAAAAAGGTTATTTCTAGATTGGAATTTTCCTTAATATTGTTGCTTGCTTATCCTTTTAGGGAAATTAAGTGTGGACATTCCATATCTCATATAAAACTGGACATAGAGAACAAAGCTGACTCTAGTCACCCAGATTAAATTCCAGAACTAAAACTATTAACTAGAAACGTATTTATAGCCAGGCAGTGGTGGTTCACACCTTTAATCCCAGTGCTTGGAACGCAGAGGCAGGCAGATCTCTGAGTTCAAGGACAGCCTGGACTACACAGAAAATCTATCCCAAAAAATCAACTGTCTGGAGAGAGCCAGATTCGGATCCCAGCACCCACATAGTAGCTCATAGCCATCTATATCTCCAGGCCTAGGGAATCTTAAGACTGTCTTCCAACCTCTTCTAGCACTGGACACATGAGGGTGCATGTACTTATGTGCAAGCAGAAGAAACTCAGAACAATGGAATCATTTGTGAACTAAGATAGAATTTGGAAGAGTGCCTACCTACCTAACATTCTTTATAATCATGCCTTTTTCCTCTTCCCAATCATTTCCGACCACAAGTCATTGAGAGGGCGGGGTGATCCTGTGCAAATCAGGAATTATAGTTGCTGACAAAGGGAGGTAAGGTGGTGTCTTTGTTTCTAAAGAGACCACTGTTTGACCATTGACTCAGGTACTCAGCTCTGGCTCATGATAATCCCAAAAGGATGGTCCATGAACCATTTTGTTAAATTCTCTTTAACAAACCTGCTTTCATCTCTTAGAACATGCAGAGTATGGTATTTCTGTATGCATTCATAGTGAAGTTAATGTGGTCACCGTTACTTCGTTTGGCTCTTTACTCTTGCGTCTCTGTTTTTGCTATCTATAGAGCCAGAGCCCAGAAGTGGAGCAGTTAGGACGAGTTGTGGAGCTGGACAGTGACATGGTGGACATCACTCAGGAGCCACTTGCGGACTCTGTGTTGGAAGAGAGTGCGCCTGAGGACCAGGAGCCTGTGTCAGCCTCAACACACATTGCATCTTCGCTGGGCATTAACCCGCATGTTCTACAGGTGAAGCCCTGCCGTGGCTGAGCTGCACTAATATTTAATCTCTTGTAAAACATCACAGCTCTGCTTTGGTCATTCACTCAAGAGTTCAGTATAAAGGGAAAGGAAAAAGAAGTAAGCCAGTGTCACAGGCCTCGTTTTCCTGGCCAGCAAGGAACCCTTACGTGGATAGTGAGAAGGCGGTCTCTGTGTAGACCAGTTTTCTCAGCCAAGCTTCATAACTGCGCTGCCCTGACTTGAAACAAGTCATTAGTAACTACTAGCAGTGTTTGCCTAAATTTCACCTTGTCTACTTTATCGAGTAGTTTTAAGGTTTCAAGCTTAGAAATTTTAGAAACATGGTAATACATGTTTAGTTGCTCTCCCTCTTGCTCTAGTGTCAGCCTTTTTTTTTTTTTTTTTTTTTTTGCCTTTGGCTTAGGTTTGACTTTAAAATCATTTACTTAGCAAATAAATTAATGTGTGCCGGAACACAGTGAATACATGGGAGAGAATCACATGACTTCAGTCTTTCAGACTGAAGTAGTGTGTTGGTCACAAAAATGTTCTTGGCACAGGCTTAAAAGAGACAGTATTTTTTGGTTTGTATAAACTGCATTTTTTTTTATGGTTTTTTTTGTTTGTGGGAAATACTCATTCCATAGATCATGAAAGCGTCACTGCTTGTTGATGAAGAAGATGTAGATGCCATGGACCAGCGCTTCAGTCACTTCCCTTCCAAAGGAGATACTGTACAAGAAATCTGCTCTCCTAGACTCCCCATCTCAGCCTCCCACTCAGCAAAGTCCCGCTCCATAGGTACAGTATAAAGCGTGCTGTTTGCCAGAAAACTGTCAAAGTTACATCTGCCCCCGCTCCCAGGCAAGACAGGCTTCCGCTGTGGAGCCTTTGGCTGTCCTGAACCCGCTTTGTAGACCAGGCTGGCCTTAAACTCAAGATCCACCTGCCTCTGCCTCCAGAGTGCATGGCTCCTACTTCCACATGTCTTCTTCTAAGCTGAATGGATTTCTTTAGCAGAACCCCTAAAAATTACATGTACAACAATGGGCTTTTATTAAAAAAATTAATGTTGTTATTAACATCATAATCTTCAAGGATTCTTGTTTTTGTTTTTTCTTTATAAAATGATTAAAATTCTGTTTTGATTTTGTAACTGAAAAAGTAATTATTATGGGCTAAGTGGTAGAGAGCTTGTACTACTCCTAAAGAGGATCCAAGTTTAATTCCCAGCACGCACATCAGGCAGCTCACAACCACCTGTAACTCCAGTTCCAAGAGGATTAGAAACCTGGCATCCATAGGCAGCTGCAGTCATGTTGACACACCCACACACATACACGTAATTTAAAGTAAAGCCTATTTTTAAAAGAAAATACTGTGGCGCAATCCATTAATTCCAGCACTAGGAAGGCAGGGGCAGGTGGATCTCTTGAGTTCAAGGCCAAGCCTGGTGTACAAAGTTCCAAGACAGCCAGGGCTACACAGTAAAACCCTACCTGTGGTGGTGGAGCTAATTACTGTGGCCAGGTGTGGTGTACACCTTTCACCCCAACACTCGGGAAGAAGAGTGTGGTGGCTCTCTGGGTTTTATTCTGGCCTGGTCTTCAGAGTGAATTCTGGGTTATAAACTACATAGTGACCATGTCTCAGAAAACAGGTAGCTATTGTAGAATCTGACTGAATATTTTCATCCTTCGTGATTTTTATTGTTATTGAAGAGACAAACCGTGATGCTTACAGTCTTTTCTTCCATGTTTCAGTTGGTGGGTTGCTGCAGTCAAAACTTGCAAGTGGAGCTTTTCTCTCACCAAGTGCCTCCATGCAAGAATGTCGCACTCCCAGAGCATCATCGCTAATGAATGTCCCGTCCACATCCCCCTGGTCTGTTCCTCTGCCCCTGGCCACTGTGTTCACCGTGCCCAGCCCAGCTCCTGAGGTTCAGCTAAAAACCGTGGGAATTCGCAGGCAACCAGGTCTAGTCCCTCTTGAGAAGTCTGTCACATATGGCAAGGGGAAACTCTTGATGGACATGGCCCTGTTCATGGGACGCTCGTTTCGGGTCGGCTGGGGCCCCAACTGGACTCTTGCTAACAGTGGAGAGCAGCTGCACGGCTCTCGTGAACTAGAAAATCATCAGGTCGCTGACTCCATGGAATACGGATTTCTGCCCAATCCAGTAGCTGTTAAATCGTGAGTTCTGTTTTTTGATGCTTCTGGGGAATAGCAACGTTGCAACCAGGAGCTGTTCTGTTACCAGGAAACCTATTGTCAGCACCCTGCTTTTTCATTCTTCCATATACATTTATTAGCCCAGGTCTGAGTATTTCATGTATGTTGTATACACAGTTTCATACATGTTCCTATATAGTCCTTACAGTTAAGTCTTCTAATTGCCAAATGTATTGAGTTTGTACAAAATATGTACAATTTTCTTACGTATTTTTATAATACTAAGAAGTTTGTGTACATTTACTGTATATTAAATGAATATGATTACTAATTTTTGAAGTTGGTTTAGAAAAATAAAATCATCAGTGTCTTGAATCTCAGTTGGCAAAATCCATTCTAAATTTAGTAATCGATTCTAGAGTATGGAATTGTCATATTCTAGAGATTACTAATACCAGTTTTAAAAATTGTGTCAAGGTTGGACTTCGTGCTCATCTGAATTTAGAGCCTGTCCTGCGCATGGTGGCACATACCTCTTATCCCGGCACTCAAGACAGGCAAAAGGGATCACAAGTTGGAGGCTGACCTCAGCTGTACAGCAAGAACCTAGCCTAGAAACTCAAGTGCTGGGGTATATCCTCGTAGATAGACCAGCACTTGCCGAACATGGCAAGACCCTGGCTTGAATCTCTAGCACTTCAATTTAAAGCAGATGCAAACAAAGAAATCATTTAGAATCTGGCCATGTGGAGTGGTGTACACTTGGGAGGTGAAGGCTGGAGAATGGGAAATTTGTGGTTTTTCTTGGCTACATAGCAAGGTTAGGACTATATAAACAGTTCTTACTATTTTAATAGACCTCATAAGTCTTTTTAAGATTTAAGAAGCTGCTGGGTGGTAGTAGCAAACACCTTTAATCCCAGCACTCAAGAGGCAGAAGCGGGTGGATCTCTCTGAGCCGGGCCAGCCTGATCGACAAAGTGAGTTCCAGGACAACCAGGGCTAAAACAGAGAAACCTTCTGTCTTGGTGGGGGGATAAGAAGAAGAAGTTTTAAGACGCTGAGGCTGTAAAAATAACTAAGTGGCTAAGAATATTTCCTATTCTTGCAGAGAACCCAAGTTTGGTTCCCAGCACCCACACTGGGCAGCACACAACCTCCTGTAACTTTCACTCCAGGGTATCTGACACCTACTTCTGGATTCCACAGGCATTATCTGCCCTGACCACAACATGCACATGTGACACTTAACAGAAAAACAAATCCTGAAAAATTATTATACGCATAGAATTAAGCTCTGAGGGCTGTGAATATAGCTCAGTTGGTAGACTGTACAGAATGCACGAAACCCAAGGTTCCATTCCCATCACTTTGGGAAATAGAGGCAGGAAGATGAAAGATTCAATGTGATCCTTCATTACATGTTCAAGACCAGCTACATGAAACCCAAAAAACAAACATTGCAGAGAAACACTTTTTATTCTGTTGGAAGTCAGAAAAGAAACAAAGGTTAGTCGTGGAAATTTTCAGCTGTGTATTTACTGACTCCTCTGTTGTTTCTTCTAGTCTATCTGAATCCCCATTCAAAGTTCATTTGGAAAAACTTGGCTTAAGACAAAAGAAGCTGGATGAAGATCTGCAGTTATACCAGACACCGCTGGAGCTCAAATTAAAACATAGCACTGTCCATGTAGACGAGCTGTGTCCTCTCATTGTCCCCAATCACGGCGTTTCAGTAATTCATGATTATGCAGATTGGGTTAAGAACGCACCCAGAGAGTTACTGGAAGTACAAAGTGAGTATGCGCTATGCTGCTAACCTGTGTGCCATGAGTCAGGTTAATAGTGGTGTGTGTTAGGAGGACATGCTTCCTCCTGGTTATGTGCTTACACATTTCTGCAGCTTACCTGGGACTAGAAAGAAATTAAGTTACCCTTTGTAAATCACTCTTATGCCTTGTAATGTATATATACTTCCTCATAGAACTACAGCTAGTTAAATGCCTTGGATTTTTCTAATTGTATTCCATTTCTTTTCATTTAAATAGTTTTTATATATACAGTGTGCCTGCACAACAGAAGAGGGCATCAGATCTCATTATAGATGGCTGTGACCCACAATGTGGTTGCTGGGAATTGAACTCAGGACCTCTGGAAGAGCAGCCAGTGCTCTTAACCTCTGAACCATATCTCTAGCCTATATTCCTTTTGTTTCAAGATATTTAACTATGTGTTTGTAAATCATCTTTATGGGGGGGGGAGTATTATTCCCCCTCTTAAAATTATATTGACTTAAATGCCTTTAATTGGATTTAAAAAGTAATAGTAGAAACATGGAGAGTAAGTGAAAGGGAGCCCTTTAATAACAGTGCTTGGTGTTCTATATTGGAATTTTGGGTTTCTAACTGTGGTGTCGGATGTGCATTGTTGTTTGCCTTTATCACTATTACTGGCATGTGCTGTGCATGTACGGTGGCATATGTGCCACTCAGATGTCAGAGGTCAGCTTGCGGGACAGCAGCCCCAGCAGTTGCTGTATTTCTACCAGAAGGCAGAAACCAGCCAGCTAAATCAATCCGCTGCTGTTGTCAGGGAGGGAGGTGCAGATGTTAAATGATTCCTAGCACCTACTTAAGGCTTACAACCATCTGTAATTCCAGTTGTGCTTGTTTATGTCTGCTTGTACAGCATGTGTGTGCCTGGAGCCCACAGAGGTTGGAGGAAGACATTAGTTCCCTTGGAACTAACCTCTGTGGGCCCCAGGCACGCACACACATGATGGTGTACAGACAGACATAACACACTCATACACACAGCAGTTTATGGTAGAATTTGATCAAATTGATTTCTTGACCGTCACAGCTAATAGCCATAATTGGGCGGGAATTTCTTTTCCGGGAACATTGGGTTACATTTGTTATGTAGCACACAGAGTGAGCAAATAGACCTTGTACTTGTGCAGCTTACAAGTTGGGAGTAGTGAGCTCACAGTCTTGAAGGAGTGCTTTTGGTAGTACATTATAGCATTGCTTTTTGTGTCTTCTTAGTTGTGAAGCACTGGAGCCTGACATGGACATTATGTGAAGCCCTGTGGGGCCACCTGAAGGAGCTTGACAACCAGCTGGAGGAGCCCACTGAATACATTCAGATTCTGGAGCGCAGAAGAGCTTTTTCCCACTGGCTGTCCCAAACTGCTGCCCCACAAATTGAAGAAGAAGTTTCCTTAACCCGAAGAGACAGTCCCATAGAGGCTGTCTTCAGCTACCTCACGGGCAGTAGGATTAGCGAGGCCTGTTCTCTCGCACAGCAGTCAGGTAGGGATGAGATCCTTTGCTCCACTACCTACTTCCCACAGACTGTCCTTCCACCTTCAGTACAATTTTCCTTCTAACTATATACAAGAAAGATGGTTGGTTCTTCTAGAGACCAAGTCTTGTTCTCCTAAACAATGCTATGGAACCTTAAATACTGTTTATTTAACTAAAATTGTGTTGGACTTGTTATATGCATTTGTAGTAAAATCAGAAAATACAGGTAAGCATAAAACAGTAGGACCAAGTCCGTGAAATTCTGAGACTTAGGCACTGTAAGCATTTCAGTGTGTGATCTGTTATCTTTGTGATATGTAAAATATACTGGAAGGTGTGACACAGGGCAACATACATGTAAACAGCTTAACTTGGTGTCCAAGTTGTCCTCATTAACATAGTGGTGAGTACCCTTGCTTGTCAAAGATAGTTACCTAAAAAAAAAAAAAAAAAAGAGCCAGGCATGGTGGCACACACCTTTAATGTCAGCATTCAGGGAGACAGAGGCAGGCAGATCTCTATGAATTTGAGGCCAGCCTGATCTACTACAGAGTGAGTCCAGGACAGCCAAGGCTGCACAGAGAAACCTTGTCTCAAAACAAAACAAAAAACCCAAACAAACAAACAAACAAAAAAATGATAGCAGCTATAATCAAGTGTTCCTAGCAGTCATTGTTGTTACAGAGTTTGTGTGTAGCCCGCCTACCTTTACCTGTGGAGTGAGTGCTAGGAGGAAAGGCCTGCTCTGCTCCGCCCAGCTGACTTTACCCCATTCTGTGAATGTGTGATACTTGGATAGGGGTTACCAGGGATAGAAAATCTGCTACATGCTGGGTACCCTTTTAGGTTAGGGTCCTTTGCAGATACACTTTTCTTCTGCTCAAGAAGAGAGCATCAGCATTTTAACACGGATATCTCTCCCCCAAAGGCCTGGAAGAGGATAGTAATCTGTGTTTCATCAGGGTGGTGGATCCTTAACCCTCAGCAGAAAACTTGTGTTTCTCTTCTAGGTGACCATCGTCTTGCCCTTCTTCTGTCTCAGTTGGTGGGTAGCCAGTCAGTCCGGGAGCTGCTCACCATGCAGCTAGCCGATTGGCATCAGCTCCAGGCTGACTGCTTCATCCAGGGTGAACGACTGCGCGTGTTTGCCCTGCTGGCTGGGAGACCGGTAATGTCATGCTGATTTTATTGTTAACTACACACTGTTCATAGCTGCCAGTTGGGCCTTGTCTCGAGGTAGAAATATTGTCAGATTAAAACATCAGAGAGCTGCACATGCTGGCATATGCCTTTTGTCCTAGAGACAGAGGCAGGTGGACGGATCTCTAAGAGATCTAGACCAAGTTCAAGGCAAACCTGACCTAGAGAGGTCCTGAACAGCCCAGGCTACGTAAAGAAAGAGAGACATCCCGTCTCAAAAAACTATGTCAGACAAAAAATTTAGCCAAACAGAAAAAATGCCTGTAATGTCAGTGTACAGAGGAACAAGGCAAGAGGATTGCCATGGCTTCAAGACTAGCCTGAGTTACATAGTGAGTACCTAGCCAAGAGTGCATAAGAAGGCCCTGTCTCAACAATTCTTACAGAAAATTTTATTCCATTTGTTTATTTGTGTGTTTGCACACTCGCTCTCAAGAGTATGGGTGTATGTATGAAGACTATGGCACATATATGGAGAACAAAGGATAACTTGCAACAGTTGATTTTCACCTTCTACCGAGGGGACCTTGGGAGTCAAGATCAGGTCTGCAGGATTTACCTATCGAGCCATCTCATGGGCCTAAAAATGCAAAAATAAAGGAATTTAACAGAAACTTTAAAGACGATGACACAGCAGGTAACAAAGGCACTTGCTGTCAAGCCTGACCATCTGAGTTCAGTCAGTCCCTGGAACCCACGCGGTGGAAGGAGAGAACTGACTCTCGAAAACTTCTGACCTACACACACCATGGCGTGCATATGCTCACATAAAAAAAAAAATCCCCAAAATTTAATGTTGAAATTACTATGTCCTAGA